TGGCTCGAACCGGGAGTGGGCCCCGGTGGTCGGTACCAGGCCTGGGAGGGGGGTTCGGGTCTGTACCGGGACGAGAAGCATCGCCAAGGACCCCACAGGCCGGTGCTGGGGCCAGGGAGCCGGGACTGGAGCTGGTTCCTGGCTGGGGAGGTAGGGAGGCCTCCTCCATCCTGGCCAGCTGTGGGTGGGGAGCGTGGCTGAAATGGCGGTGGGGCACTGGGCTGGGTTCTGGTGGGGCACTGGCAGCGGAGCAGGGTGCAGCATACTGGGATCTGGGGCAGGAGGGGGGTAGAGCTGGGCTCATCCCTCCTGTGAACGGCTGTTCTCACCCTCCAGGTGAAGGAGAATAATTACCGGGGCCATGGTGACAGTGTGGATCAGCTCTGCTGGCACCCCAGCAACCCTGACCTCTTTGTCACGGCATCTGGGGACAAAACCATCCGCATCTGGGATGTCCGCACCACCAAGTGCATCGCCACTGTCAATACCAAAGGTGAGTCCCTGCCTTCCGGGGAGAGCTGTTGGGTCCCGGCAGAACTTCTGCTGCATGGGACCTGTCTGCAGCAGCACAGTGCTTTGGCCCTTCTTGTTGGTGTTGGTGACTGGGGCATCTTTGCTGACTGCTTTTGTCTTTGTGTTGCACTCATCTGTAAGGAGCAGCAGTGAACACAAGGACTGATTTACTCTGGTGTCTGGACTGGACAAACTGCTGAAATATGATGCTGGTTGTTAAAATGTCCTGTGTCCGGATTTCGTGCCTGGAGTCTGTGGGCTGCAAGGCTGGAGACTGGGGAAAAGCATGTTTGCAGAGAGCCACGGTGGAAGTCAAAGTTTACATGGATTCAGAAAGTGATTATTGAAATCCATTGGCTGGTTAACCCAGATACCATCTCTGCCCTTGGAAATCTCCAATTCTGAATTGTTGGGGCTGGACATGGCATTGTAAGATGGCAAACAGAAACCTGCCTTGTTCTTAACTGTCCTTCACATGTATTTATTGTTGGCTTCTGCTTTTTTCTGGATCTTGAAGATCACTGGGTTAAAGAGCTGCCTTGTTTGGTGGTTGCTGTGGTCCCATCTTGGTCGAAATGGGAAGAGCAGCAGTGTAGTCATTTTGGCTTGAAGCTGTGGTTCTGTTAAGTTTTTCAGTAACTGTGTATATTTGCTGGACAGCTACTATATAGGGTTTGTGTGTTAGACTGTGGACCTGGCAGTGTTTTCCATTTGGGAGTGGTTTGGAGTTAGTGGAGCAGATTGTGGCCTTGGGTCAGGAATAAAAGCCACCTGTCTGCTTAACTCATGGTTGCTGTGGATTGTTGGGTGGAAATGGGACCTGCTGCCTTTCTGTCCTTCCAGGGGAGAACATCAACATATGTTGGAGCCCTGATGGACAGACCATTGCAGTGGGGAACAAGGATGACGTGGTCACTTTCATTGATGCCAAGACGCATCGCTCTAAAGCAGAGGAACAGTTCAAGTTTGAAGTGAATGAGATCTCCTGGAACAACGATAACAACATGTTCTTTCTCACTAACGGGAATGGCTGCATTAACATCCTCAGGTAGGTGCCTGTAGCAGCGGGTGGGCAGGGTAGCTAGGCTGGCTGCAGCAGACATCCATCTGCAAGCCTCTTTGCTGCTTTTGGGGGAACCTGTGTCCCACACCCCAGCGATTCCCAGCCCTCTGATGGGAACGAACTTGTCTGGAGCTGAGGCTGCCCCAGTTCTGGGCTGGGTGCCCCGAGAGTCACCTTGATGCTTTGCCTCATTCACTCAGCACTCTAGGTTTCCAAGACTGTGGCCATGCACCAGCTTGGTTTGCTGACAGTCCTAGTCCCAAGCTTGCCCTGCTCGTAGACCAGCCCTGTGTTCCTCTCACTGCTTCCTGCCCTCTCCCTTCATGTCCACAGCTACCCGGAGCTGAAGCCCATTCAGTCCATCAATGCTCATCCTTCAAACTGCATCTGCATCAAGTTTGATCCCATGGGGAAATACTTTGCCACGGGCAGCGCTGACGCGTTAGTCAGCCTCTGGGATGTGGATGAACTGGTGTGTGTGAGATGCTTCTCAAGGTAGGTAGTGCTGTCCTGAAGTCGTTTGCCTTCCCTCTCCAGTGATGGTTTGGGAGATGTCTCACTGTTTTGCTCTGTTGCTACAGGCTTGACTGGCCTGTGCGAACACTGAGCTTTAGCCATGATGGGAAGATGCTAGCATCAGCATCAGAAGATCATTTCATTGACATTGCAGAGGTGGAGACAGGTAACAGTTTCCTTTTGGGGAACAGGAAGGAGGGAAACGGATGGGGATGTGCTGGTGGAGCTGGGAGGGCACTGGGAGTATCAGTCTGCTAAGGAAGAGCTTGGCTGTGCAGAGCAGAGCACCATGAGGGGGAGCCTCTGCCTTGTTAGTCTGTTGTAGACATGCGTGTCATGTCCATGCCTTGTCACCAGGTGATTAAAAGGCACTGAAGCAGTGTGTGTTCCTCCTCTGCCCTGCACGGGAGAGAAGAAGCAGGTGCTTGGCTCCGGTGTGCGCTACAGGGTGGCGTGCAGCGGAGGGCCAGAGGCTCTCCTGGCTGATGTGGCCCCTTTTCCATGCAGGAGAGAAGCTCTGGGAGGTGCAATGCGAGTCCCCCACCTTCACCGTGGCCTGGCACCCGAAGAGGCCGCTGCTGGCCTTTGCCTGTGATGACAAAGATGGCAAATACGACAGCAGCCGGGAGGCAGGCACCGTCAAGCTCTTCGGGCTCCCCAATGACTCCTAATGAAACCACACTGGGGGAGGCAACGCTTCCCTTCTCTCGGGGATAAGAGAGTGCTTAGTTAGTGTAGGACGGGGTAAGGAGGCAGCTCCCCTCCTTGTCTGCTTGGCCGTGCTGTGACCTTTGGCTCAGCTCTGTGCGTACTGCTCTTGGGAACGTTTGTAAAAGCAGCAGCTTGTGTGCTGGGGAGGATGGAGGTGATGCTAGCAGAGCCACTGTTGCCGTCTCAGGGCTGCCACCACCTTCTCTCTGGGGTGGGGGGGGCTTGTTCCAAAGGCAAGTGGCCCAAGAGAGTCAGTCGCCGAAGGTGACTGCTGAGGAGCCTCCTGAGAGAGGAGCTCCAGGCTCCCCAGCAGTGATAAGCTGCATGGCCATCCCCTTCTGCCCCATGGCCTGATGGCGAGGGCAGCCCTGGGAGCACAGCCTGCCCCTTCCCCTCCCAGACACCCCCTTGTCCCTTCCCTGCACTGGGGCACTGAGGGGAGGGTGGGGGTATGGGAGTTGGGGGATGTTTTCCCAGATGGGTTTTTTGTTTGGGGTGTTGGTTTTGTTTTGTTTTTTTTTTTTTGTATGTGTGGGTGTTTTGTTTTTTTTTCTAATTTTGATAAATCCTCTTCAATAACGAAGGTGCCTGCGCCTGCTGTGGGGGCAGACAGGGGTGCTGAGCTGCTCTCCTGCGAGCTTGTCTCCCTTCCCCTGTCTCCTTCCCCTCTGCCATGGCAAGTGCCCCTCGACGGGGACTGTCCCCCTTGTCCCCACTGGCTGTCTCCACTGTCCCTGTCATGCGCTGTCACCCCACCAGGGGGCGCTGCGCTCCCACGCTGGGGACGGGGGACAGCCGGGACCCTGCACAGAGGATGGGGACAGCTGGGGGGACCTGCCCCAGTCCCGGAACCCTGCTCCTGCCTGGCATCACCCTGCATGGATGAAGCAGGGCCATGGCCCCAGCAGAAGACACCCGCCTGCGGTACACCACAGCCACCGGCCCTGAGCAGAGCCCTTCCCCGTGCCTCTGCCTGGGCTTCCCCCTCCCTCCTCTCAGGGAGAGCCGTGGGGTTTTCTTCTCCCCCCCCACCCTGTCATGCTGGATCACAGGGGAGACGGTCACTGCAGAGGAGGTGCGGGCGCAGCCTGCTTGCGATGGAGACCTTGCTTGCAAGATCTCTATCATTTCCTACCCTAATATTTTCTTCTGACAGAAGCTTTTCCAGGTGACTGCTCTGCTGATGCTGCCTGGGTAACAGCTGAGCTCTTTGCTGGTCAGTGATGGCAAATCAGCCGAAGCTGAGGCTGGCTCTGGGTGGAGGCTGCTGGGGCTGTGCCCGGCCTGGGCACTGCCAGGGGCCCTGCCTTGCTGTGGGGCATGAGGTGCCCCATTGCCCAGGGCCTGCCTGTAGCCTTGTGCTCCTGCTCTTGGGGGGACAGAAGAATATGACCCACCAGAAACAGCCCTTGTACCCCAGGGGTAACCCCAGTCGTTCTGTGAGGGGAGTCCCAGAGTCAGGGGGAAGGTGCAGAAGCCCCCCTGCCATGTCTGTGGGGGGCACCCAGCACCCATCCCTTTTACCTTGTCCCCAGAGAGGGTGCCTGCAGGGTGGAGATGGGGTGTGGGGAGGTAGCTGGACTGAGCAGGGCCCTGGGAGCCATGCGTGGCCTCTCCCTTTGCCTGTGGCCTGGGTTGGGTGTTGTCCAGGGTTGGCCCTCTGGCCTCCCCTAGTGTGATGAGCTGCCAGGTCTCAGCCCTGAGGAGGATGGAGGTGGCGTGGGAGCTGGGAAGCAATGGCTGAGAAGAGGCCAGAGCAATGTACAAATCCCTTTATTTTATTAGTTTGTCAAAGACTAGTTCGAGCAGGATGGTCACAGCATGTCTGCGGGGCCCCAAGCCCCCCACCGCCTCCCGGGAGGGCCCTGGTGGGCAGCTAGGGGCTGTGGCGGCGGAAGCACGGGGAGAGGGGAGCACGGTGTGGCAAGGGCCGGGCCGGGGTGAGGGTGTGCCCCTGCATCCCCCCGTTGGGGTGCAAGCAGCGGCTCCTGGGATGTGCCCGGGGCGCTTGCCCAGGGATCCCTTCCCAGGCCCGGGGGACCTGTGTGTCCAGCATCGGGTGGGGGGCAGCTGAGCACTCCCAGCCCGGGACTGGCCTGGCAGCCCTCGGCTCTGCGCTGGCTTTATTGCAGGGGGCAGAGCAGGGGCCCTGGCAGCACAGTAGGGGGCTCTTGGCTCAGCGCCATGGGTGGCCCTGGGGACAGTGGGGACACAGGTGTGGGAGCGTGAGCAGCGGACACGAGGACGCATGGAGCGACGGGGCGCACCCTGGCACAGAGACACTAATGCGAGAACGGGGGCCAGTGGG